CCCCCCCCCCCCAAAAAAAAAAAAAAAAACCAAACAAACGTCTTATTTTATTGGTATAATTCCAGGATGAAAAACATTATGACTGGTTTGATGGAAAGCACATTAGTTTCAGTCACTGGTCTGAAAAAGATGAAGAAACAAGTGATGACTGTGTGTTTTTGGATACTGATGGATTCTGGAAAACTTCTGAGTGTTCCTCTGAAAAACTAGGTGCTATTTGCTACTTGCCACAAAGTATGTATTCTGAGATAATGCGTTCACATTATTTTTTTAAAAGAGTTTTCATCAACAACATACAGTTGTAAAACTCAGTAGCAAAGATGTTTTAGAACAGTGATACCCAAATCCTCCTCCGCAAGTCAGGTGAGTGGTGCAGGGTGGTCCTGGGGCCCAGCCCAGCGTACAGAGCAGTGTCATTTGACACATGATATTACACCCTTAATCTGGGGTGATTTTTAAAATGATCTGTTGTAGAATTACCCTAGGGGAAAGTGGGATAAAACTCCATTGAGATGAGTTCTTTTATTGCATGCAGGTGCATGTCTGCTGTCAGACCAGCTGTTAGCTCAGTTTAAACAGGCTATACCAGTTCTTCCACCATCTAGTGGCAAGACACTATAATAGTACATACTGTAGCAGCTACCCCTGGGGTGGATCCAGAGCAGGTACAATGGTACGGCTGCACCCCCTTTTGGATTGGATACAGTCCAGGAGTCTCTAGAGACTTTTTAAAGTCTCCAAAGCACATAAGAGTCCCCCTGCTTTCCCTTTGTGCTCAGGCATGTCCCCTTCCCTATGTTTCCACACCCTCTTGTTGCTGCTTTTTCCCCTTTTACTCCCAGTGTTTGGTGGGATAAAGCTTCAAAGCTGTTCCTGGGGTAGGCTCAGCTGGGAATAGTGAAAGCAGGAGAGCATGGGCAAGGGGTTCCCTTTTCCTGCTCCTGATTCCTGGGGGACTAGACAGGGTGGGGAAACCCACCCACCCCCTGCCCATCTCACTACCACTTGTACCCCAGCTGGAGGGAGCAGGAGTGACTTTGTAGCTTCTCAGCTCACTGAGATAGTGGAGAAAGCAGTAACAGCAGGAGAGGAGGGAAAGACATTGGGGTGGGGAGGGGATGTGCCTCTGAGCATGGAGGGGAAAGTGGGGATTCTTAGAGCCTGCCACAGCAAGGTATATCCCTACCAGTTTAGGGGGGGGAGGCTGGGAGCAAGGGTGCAGTCACCTGTACAGTGGGCATGGCTGCTCCTGCACTCCCCTTTGCCAAAACCTGAATTCACCCCTGGGTATCCCAGAAGGCTGTTGATCTGTTCTTGCTAGAATCAGTATAATATACATAGGATTACAAAGTCAATGCAAGTTACTTTGGTGCTGATGTGTCTAGGTTCTTAGTTTTATGTTTTGTAATGGATATTAATATTACGTAGGAATTTTCTATAAAGAATACGCTGAGTGGTTTAAAATTATGTTCTGAGAGAATGTCTCTCTTTTTTTCCAGATGAAACTGAAAAAATTGTTGAACATATTACATGTCCACACAAAGTTAAAAATACACCATGGATATCATTTAAAAATAGTTGTTACACTTTCATGGTAACAAACGACAGATGGCGAGGACTGAGATCTCAAGAAGCTCATCATTTATGCAAAACAATGAGTAAGAACTTCATACTAAGAATTAACTTCTTTATTTTTACTTTTGTATCACTTAGTATGAATAGGATTTTGAATAGGATAGGAAAAAATCTTGAATAGTTGCTTTTGAGAGCCTGTTAATAAATTGCTTTAGAAATGAAAAAGGATAGACATGAGGGGACATGGTCTAACTGAAATTTAGATACTTTCAAAATAAGTGCTATAAACTTTTTTTGGATACTACACTGTCCTTCAACTTTCCTTGGCAATTTTCTTGCTTACAGCCAAACTTTTAAAAATGTTTTCCCTCGTTTCTGTGTAAAGAATGCATGTAAACAAGAAGTTTTCCTGTGGCAGCCTAATTCAGGAAAGCACTTAAACATGTGAGTAAGCACAGGCTTTACTTCAAGTGTATCTTCTCATCCATATTAACCAACTTTGGCCAGGACAATTTAAGGACAAAAAAATCCTAACTTTTTCAGTTACTAGGTTTCAAATTGAGTGTCTTTTTCAGCTGCCCATAGGCAAACTGACATGGCATACAAGAAGCAAATGTGGGTTTTATTGTTTTGTTTGTTAATGTGGTTCAATAAGAGGTATTGCTAAAAATCCTTGCTTTTGACATTTCCTGGACCACCGTGACTACAACAACACTTCAGCTATAGTAACACAAAGGGTTTGAGCCCACAAAGCATTTTGAACAACTGAAGACACTTTGATTCATTTACTTAAAAACAGGACCAATTTTTACTACATAAAGGCTTTAAATGAATATTATGTTCATGAAAGCTGTGAGCTTCAGTGGCTTAAATCCTCTGCTTATCTACAGGATGTGTACCAAACAGGCAGAGTTGAAAATTAGTATTTTTTCCCTAACATTTTAGGATCTGCCTATTTTGTCCATCCTTAAGAATCTTTATATGTTCACATATGCTAATTAAACAGTAATAGTAAAAATAGTGATGTATTTGAAATTTGTAATGAATTATATAAAGTATCATTTTAAAAATTTGTTTCAACAGATCCAAATGCATTTGTTTTGAATATTAGAGATGAGGAAGAAAACAACTTTGTTGTTGAACAGCTTCGTTCTTTAAGTGGCCTAGCTACATGGGTATGGTTGGGCTTAATTTATGATGATGCTGGTAAGTTGAAAGGGGTTTTTTTAAGTGCTTTCATAACTTTCTGTCATTGCATTGACATATTTCTCACGTCTGGGCCTAACAATTAGAGCAGGGGTGGGCAAAACATGGCCTGTGGGCTGGATCCAGCCCACCAGGCCGTTTTATCTGGCCTGCGGGGCCCCTAAACATTTTAGAAAATGAATATTAGTTAATTTATTAACAGTATTTCATCCTATTCTCATAAATAAATTAAGAGGCTGTAACATGTTTACACGGTCCGGTGGGTGGCATATTGGCTTAGCAGTCGCACCCAGAGAATAGTAGTAGATGGGTCGGTATCAGCCTAGAAGGATATGGGTAGTGGGGTCCTACAGGGTTTGGTCCTTGGACCTGTACTCTTCAATATCTTCATCAGTGACTTGGATGGGGGTGTGAAGTGTATTCTGTCCAGGTTTGTGGACAATATTAAATTGTGGGGTGAAGTGCACACTCCAGAGGGTAGGGAACGATTGCAGGCAGACCTGGACAGGTTAGAGAAGTGGGCAGTACACAGTAGGATATAGTACAACAAGGACAAGTGCAGAGTGCTGCACCTAGGGCGCAAAAATATCCAGCACACCTACTGGCTAGGAAGTGACCCTCTCAGCAGCACAGAAGGAGAAAGGGATCTTGGAGTCGTAGTGGACTCCAATATGAACCAGAGTCATCAGTGTGATGAAATCATCAGCAAAGCTAACCACACTTTATCATGCATCAGCAGATGCATGACAAATAGAACCAAGGAGGTGATACTTCCCCTCTATGCGGCATTAGTCAGACCACAGTTGGAGTACTGTGTCTGGTTTTGGGTGCCATACTTCAAGAGGGATGTTGGTAGACTCGAGAGGGTCCAGAGGATGGCCACTGATATGATTAGAGGCTTACAGGACAAGTCCTGTAAGGAGAGACTGAAGGACCTGGACCTCTTCAGCCTCTGCAAGAGAAGGCTGAGAGGTGGACTTGTGGCTGCCTACAAATTCATTAGGGGGACACGGCAAGGGATCAGAGAGGCTCTGTTCACTAGGGCACCTCTTGGGGTAACAACGAACAATAGTCACAAACTGACAGAGAGCAGATTTAGGCTAGATATCAGGAAAAACTCCTTCAGGGTAAGGGTAGCCAAAATTTGGAATGGCCTTGCAAGGGAGGTGGTGCTCTCCCCTACCTTGAGGGTCTTTAAGAGAAGGCTGGATAGGCATCTGGCTGGGGTCATCTGACTGCAGCTCTCTTTTTCCTGCTCAGGCAGAGGGTCAGACTTGATGATCTGTTGAGGTCTCTTCCAACCCTAGCATCTATGAATCTGTTAATCTGCCCCTGGCTGTCTGTCAAAGATGACAGGAGCCAGGGGCAGTAGGACTTGGGGGAGCCTCTGGCAGGATCTAGCAGCTGGAGAAGCAAGTCTGGCATGCCCCCACCCTGGCCTGAGACCCAGCCGGAAGCCTCTGCCTAGCTGGGGCTTCTGGAGGCTTCTGGCCTGGGAGTGTTCCTATCTCCGTACACTGAGGGAAATGCAGATAGGGCATGGGGAAGGGAGGCAGGGGAGGACCACAGGCAATCGCCCCACTCTTCAGCTGGCTGGGCCAGCTTCTGTGGTCCCAGTGCTGCAGCTGGGAACCATGTGGTGCCAGCAGGCAGGCAGGTGGGGGAAAGTGAGGAAATGGCTGTGGCAGGCGGGTGGAAGGGGTGGCAAGTGAGCACGCGGAGTGCAGCGACAGCTGGACAGGAGTTCAGGGCCTGCACGCATGCATTGGGGCCTGCGCCAGCCCCACGAGGTGGGGGCTGCCTGGGGCTCTATGGAGCTGGGCTGTGCTGCTGAAGCAGGGAGCAGAGGGAACCAGCATGACTCCATAGAGCCCCAAGCAGCCCCCGCCCTGTGTTCCTGCCGTCCCACGCTGGCCCAAGTACATTGGTGTGGGCCCCACACTCCCGCCTGGCTGTCACTGTGCTTCACGTGCCTACTTGCTGCCCCTTTCCCCGCACCTGCCCTAGCCATTTCCCCGCTCCCTCCTCCCCCCACTGCCAGCCACTCAGGAGCAGCTGGGATGGAGCAGGAGACGGGCAGCAGTGGCAGACGGGGAGCAAGTGGCAGCGAGCAGCAGCATGGAGCCCACGCTGGTGCCCCGGGACCAGGAGCAACAGAAGCGCAGCGCCCAGGCTTGCAGAAGTGCTGGCAGGGGCTGTGCCTGCTGCGCTGAGGGGGAGGGAGGGCAGGCTGTGGGCAAACCTTCCCCCTCCACAAGCCACAGCCCCACACACACCCTCCCCCACACCCTCAGAAACCTATACCTACTTTCCCACCCACACCCCTCCCACAATATAGAAAAGTAAGATTTTAATTTAAGCTGTTATACTATCACCTCTGTGTACACTACACAAGCGCATGAAAATCCAGACAAAAATATTTTTTTTAAATGAAATTAATGAATGTTGTAGTACGTTTCATTTTTAGAATATAACTTGGTATATTTTTGATCCAGAGATAGCAAATCCCCTTGCTGAAAGGAGTAATTCCAGGGGGCAGGAGGAGGGACTTCTGGTGGCAAAGGTTAGGGAGCAGGATTTCCAGTGCCAAGATGGTGACCGGGGGCGTGGCACCTGTCAAGGGGTGGGGCTACCTATGGAGCCCTTGATGGCTTGCCAAAAGTTGGTAAGCGGCCCTCTACCCAAAACAATTGCCTACCCCTGAATTAGAGCCATAATCAAAAGAAGTATAGTAAAAGCTGCGCTATCCAACACCTTACAAGCCAGCATGCTCTATTAATTGGCATGCTGGCTTGTAAGGGAAAAGTGGAGCCAGGAGTACCCACCATGGCACTTCCAGTTTCGCTGAGCCTCCATGGCCCAGGGCATAGCACTTTGCATGGGGTCCCCCTCCCTGTCCCTCAGGGCCTGTGGGAGGGGTGGCAATGTGACAGGAGGGATGGCAACGCCCTGGATGCGGCAGGAGAGGCAGCAGCCTGAACAGGCAAGGACGCCTCTTCGGGCCACTCAGTTAACCAGCATATTTTGTTATCTGGCACCCACAGCCCCCATAGGTGCCGGATAACAAAGCTTTTACTGTATAAGGTAATCTACAGGTCACCTCCAACTTCCACTGAAGTCAGTAGTGCTCCATACCACTGACTTCCCAGCCCAGAGAGAATAAGAAACTTGTTCGCTTCCTAGAGCTTCTACTTACAACTAACACTTCGTTCTCTGTTAAATGCAGTAACTTTCCTGAACTACTGTCTCTTTTGAATAGTTGTATAGTTGAATAGGTTCATAGTTGGTAGGGTCGGAAGGGACCTGAGCAGATCAACAAGTCCGACCCCCTGCCATGGCAGGAAAGAGTACTGGGGTCAAACGACCCCAGCAAGGTGTTCATCCAGCCTCCTCTTAAAGACCCCCAGGGGGCTAGATGCACCACTTCTCTTGCAAGTTGGTTCCAGATCCTAGCTGCCCTGACCGTGAAGTAGCGCCTCCTGATATCTAGCCTAAATCTACCCTCTGCCAGCTTGTGACCATTATTTCTTGTCACTCCTGGGAGTGCTCAGGGGAACAGGGACTCCCCCAGTGCCTGCTGGTCCCCCCTGACTAGTTTGTAAACGGCCACTAGATTCCCCCCTCAGCCTTCTCTTGTGGAGGCTGAACAGGTTCAGGTCTCATAGCCTTTCCTCGTAGGGTCTGCCCTGCTGCCCCCTGATCATGCGAGTGGCCCTCCTCTGGACCTTCTCCATGCTGTCCACATCCCTTCTGAAATGCGGTGCCCAGCACTGGATGTAGTACTCCAGCTGCAGCCTGACCAATGTCGCATAGGGGGAGGATCACCTCCTTGGACCTGCTTGAGATGCATCTGTGGATGCATGGCAAGGTGTAGTTGGCCTTCCTGACCATGTCTCCA